CCCCCGTCCCTCTTTCTGCTCTGGCTCCTCTTTGCCGCTCCTGCTGTTTTCTTGGCCGTAAGAGAGACTGCTGAACAAAACCGAGTAGCCCGACCAACGCGTCTAATAGCCGCTATAATTACATAGCGCATACACGTGCTCGCACGTCCGATTATTCTTGGAGAGCAGATCCACTGTTTGCGTGCACGTGTATATGCGTGCGAGTGTGTACGCAAAACTCGACGCACACACTGTAAACCATATTTGTAAAGCTCACGGGAAACGTTTCCGTTAGAGTGGCAAGAGTTCTCTTTTCTCCATTGTATTGTTTTTCTGCTGTTTTTTTTTTTTTTCTACTGGGTGGTGGCGCTGACAGGGTAGGATGGGAGGGGGGACACACTTGACACGCTTTTGGGGCGGTGAGAGATGAAAATGATTACTACAAACTGCTGCTCTGATGTTTTCTCAGTCTATTGGGTGGAAGCAGTAGGACGTCCCCCCCCCCTTTCCCTGTATCTACCCGGCCCTACTCCGCCCTAGCCTATCCCCGCCTCCCCTCAAATGTCCGGCTCGGTCAGAATGACAACACGGCATCAATTTCCGCTCGGGAAAGCAGCATGTCTGTGTGGTTGTGTGTGTATTGGAGAAGGAGAGAGATAGTGAGAGAGAGAGATGGGGGGGGGGGGAAGAAGGGTGGGAGAGAAGGGGCAGAGAGGTCCTTCGATTCCTCCTTTCTGGGATTGCAACTGTGTCCGTCCGCAATACATTCTCAGATAATGTCCGATGCCCCATTCTTCAAGATATTGTCCCGTGTTCCGCCGCACTTACGTCTATGTGGGAGGCATTGATGTAGTCTGAAGTGGCGCAGGTCTTGGACGGGTCCAGCACCACTCGATTGTAGTCATCTGGGAAAGGAAATGCAACATCAGATATCAGCACAGCTGCTACCCCCCGCAGGGCAATGCGAGCGCCTCGCCAGACGTCGTCTCGACCACTCACATGGCACGCACTTGAGGGTCTGGTTCTTCTCCCGGTTCACAGCCTTGTTCGCGTGCCTGCACGAGTGGACCTCCACCTTGGCCGCCGTCTGCAACAACAACAATAACAACGGCAGCTGTGAGAAGGGGGTTGGGGCGCCGGTATGGACGGCGATGATGGCACACCGAAGAAAAAGAAGTACGCGAGAAAGATGCGGCACTGTGATAGAAAACTGTCGTGATTTCACCGTTAAACCAAGAGTAAAAAAACTACAAGTTGAATACTTGTAAGTGTTCAACTGAGTAGTTGTGCACTTGTAAGTTCCCTATCCTCTTAATTTGGATGTTTACCGTGCAGGAGTGGGACACACGGTCAAAATAATGTCTTGAAATCCCAGGAAATTTCAAACAGTCGTAGGTCTACTTAAAAAATTTCTGTGTGTCGTCAAATTACAATTTGAAATAATTGTAGATGTACTAGCACTTTGCATCGACTTGGAATTGATCAACAAGCCTGGAGCTCTCGCAAATTTACAACATGTTTTGTAAATTAAAATTACAACAATATGTTGTAAATTGCCGAGGATATTTTTCACAGTGGAAATGTTAAACAGAGAAGTTGCGCTTTCAAGTATGCCTGCAGTTGCTCACTTACAAGTGTAAAGCAGTTGCACACTCGGTTCCTAAGTGTTGTTGTAATACGTCTTCGTCTCTCCAGGCGCCTGCGGACCGCGAGGTAGGCCACCGGCCTGGGCCGCGGCTCCAGCGGGTCGCCTATCCAGTCGCCCGCGGGCGCCCGCCGCCCCGTGAGAGCGAGTGAGACAGAGACAGAGGGATGCGGGGGGAGATTTTTCAGAATTATTATGACGCGAGCGGCCGGGTGGCGGCATTCCTTGAGACCCGGTCGGCGGTAGGGCCAGTGCGCCCGTCTGACGTCAGGGGCGGGGCGGGGCGGGGCGCTGCCACCGTGAGCAGCTGTTGCTGGCCCGCGCGAGCATCACGACCGCGTCCACCCGGCATCACATCCGGCCGACCGGGCCCCGGCAGCAACAGCGGCCCATGTCAAAGTCCTGGTCGACGCGACGCGCCACGCCACGCCCCGGCCTAGTGCGTCACTGGCCCCACCGCCAGGGAGGGGCTGCCAAAGGAGTGTACCGTGTACCGATGGTAAAGCAACCCCCACCACACGCACACACATGCGCACACACGCACGCACGCACGCACACACCGAGAGCAGAGTAGGTTGTACGGGTACGATTATATGGATTGTTCCACCTACTTTTCTCCGACCCGACCAGGTAATTTTTCCAAAATCCCCAAAAGTGCTGTCTGACCTCGGTTTTGTCCGACCTATTTTTCTCCGACCTCGTCGATATGCTTAAAATTTGGGAAGAATGTACTTCAAAGAACAACGAACGGCACGCAAGGGCGTGATGACGGGTTTGAAATTTGGTGGCCTGAGAAAAATTTCAAATCGACGGTGATTCGAACCGCCAACCTCCCGCGCTCCTAGCGGGCGCGCTACCGACTGAGTCATAGAGGCGAGATACAGGATGTCGCTCCCGGGAACGATCCATTCTACGCTGTCGCTAACTGATAAACAAATGTAAGTGTAAAGAAATAATTTTTGTTCACACAACATATACCTATTTGAGCGTTTTGAAGTGCTGGGAACAACATATCAAAAGATGGCGATTACTTTTTAGGGGTTCCTTTACCGAGAGGTCGGACGAGACTTAATTTCTGTGGACTGAAGTGTCGCGCACTGGTATGAACAAAAAACAACCTGTGCCGCGGCCGGGACTCTAAGCACCATTGCGAGCGGATTGTAACTTCAAAATTTTGTTTCTCTCGTCCCTTGACCGGAATCGGTTCCACGGTGAGCAGCGCAGCTATTACTTGTCGTGGTAGCTCAGTGGTCTCCGTGCGTGGTGGCTGGATAGTAAGCCGGGTCCGGCTCGGGTTCGAAACCCGACCGGTGCGTAACCAGTTTCCCCGCACGGAACCTCTGACGTTATTCAGAGGATCTAGAAGCCGTGGTGGTTGGCTGTTGTGCAGGGGATGGACTGAGTTTCTGGAAATTCGGGAAGCGGAGATAGCCGAGCTTCCGCGACTAATAATTTTATCGGAGGAAAACATCTTGATTTTTTTTCTCCGAATACCTGTCCAAGCTTTCCAGGGGAAATTAAAACCGTCGTTTCACCAGCTACGCTTCGTCGAGCTCCGACGGCGTAGTTGTTACGTTAGAACCGAGTAAATCAGAGAACGCAGGTTCTCTGCGGTTTATCGTTTTTTCGTCTCTTTTCTGACTAAAGTAGACTCACGAGTTATGGCTCTTACGCAGGAGCCTCCTCCGACTTGGTGCCATAGCCGCACCCGTTCAGTTCGGAACTTCAGACTCATAGTTCAGCAGTTCGAATTCCGGTCGCATCGACTTTTTATCCGGCCAGAAAATTTCGAGTGGACTCCAACCCGACCATTTCAGGAGGTGACCGCCGTGGAGTGCCGACGGCGTCCTCAGCGCCATGTCAATCAAGGATCGCGGATTCGAATACCTGTGCTTCTTCGTTTTTATTTACTGCCCGATTAGACTCGCCCAGCATCACTTTAAAACGACAGGACAGGCCGTCTACCGTGGAATCGTAGCAGCCTCGTTCTGTACAACATCAGAGACTTGAAGGTCGATGGTTCGAATCTCCGTCGAGTGGGCATTTTTCTCTGGCTTCGCGAAGATTTTAAACTGTGTGATTGTGGTAAGGTGGAAAATGGATCAATTTTCCTCGGCGCCACGTTGTCGCCGTTGCCGCTGCCGCTACGCTACTAGCCCGGGCGGCGGGGCGGCTCGGCCCTGAGTTACGGCACCGCCGGTCGTAATAATCATCTCTCGATAGAGAGTTTGGAGGGATGGGGGATTACTCGCGGGTCGTAAACGGGTGCTGCAGAACCTCTACGAGGCTCTCTGAACATCCCCCACCTCACCCCTATCCCAAAACGAGTTTAATAAAATACTTTTTTTTCTGTTCTGATCAACTAGCTACAGTATATTATAATGTTAGTAAAAGGGGTTGATTTCTAGCTGGAAGGAGTACTCATTCTGTTGGTCATAAATTGTTCGATTATGAACGAAGATAAGGGACGCATTCCCACCGATGATCCTGAACCTGTTTTGAACCCGATTATGTAGAGAGGTTACTCACTTGGAATTCGACTCGGAACAGTACTGCAAACTTCCTCCGTTGGTCGCACAGCTTCTGGAATCTGGCCACCGGTACCGGGTCGGACGGAACCGTGGACAGGATACCGTGCTCCTCCGAGGCTGAAAGGTATCAAAAGTGAAACATTAAAAGAAATTATTGATAAGGATGACAATATCAAAATACGGTTTTGCTTTGGTTCTTTTGTTCTTGACATGATACACTGTGAAAAATACTCGTACAAGTTTACGGGAAATTTTTACATAATGTGAGTCCGTAAAATTACAATTGAGATTACAATGTGAAATTGTAAAATTACAGTCACTTCCTATCGACTTGGAATTCATCGAGGAGCGAAAATGGGCCGTCGTAAATTTAAATTTACAACATCATTTTGTAGTTCCAAATTACAGGAAATGTCGTAACTTTACGAGGAAATTTTTCACAGTGTATAGTCGCTCTTTGCTCGACGTTGTCCATAAGCGGACCAGGGATCCCTATTCGCCCTCGCTCGTCTCATCTTTCTCTGGAGTCGGTGTGCCCCACCCGCTCGCAAAATCGTCCTCATATCCTCACATTCACACTCACGCGCTCACACCGACACACCGACACTCACACAACGGCGACCACGCCTGTCCGTGTCAATAAAAGATGGCTATAAATATGATAAGATGGAGTTCGCTTCAGTTCGGTGGAGACAGTCCTCCACTCGGAATTCCTCAGCAACAACTTCCTGCAAGGCTCCCCTCCGTCACCCCACCGCCCCCATAGCACGCCCCCACCCTTTCACCCCTCTCCCCTGACCCCCACCCCTCATGCAGCCCCGTACCCGTGGTGCCCGGGTACGCGTTACGGCGTTTCCTGTCGGCCCATTTTATTTATCTCTCCCTCACAATCGATTGGTTGTGATCTTCCCGGTGAATCGTGTCACTTTGCTTTGCACAGCGGAAAAGAAAAAGAAGCTATAAACCCAAATTCTAAAAAAAAGACCATATGTACGAAATTATTCCAATTTTGATAGGCGCCCCCCCCCCCTCTTACCCCCACCAAGGGAGATTAAGGGAGATTTGGAGAGGAAAGGGGTGGGGGGGGGGATGTTTTTTTAGGTTAACCTAATAGAAGCGAAACACCCAAATCGGACCCATTTTAGTACCAACATACTCCCTCTTGTTTTAAGGGACTAAAAGAGGATTTGGAACTTTCGAAAATCCCTCTGAAATCCCTTTCTTCTGAAATCCCTCTGAACTCCCTTTTCCCCACGACACGCCGTTTGAGGGCGAATTTAGAAAATGGTGAAGGAAGCTTCTTAGGTCATTTTTAACATGTCAGGCGAGCTCACATGGCCGGGAAGTACTCTACATCTGTACAATATGTATATATACATATCGTTAGAAGCAAACTTGTAGCTAGGCTCTATCGGTTCCCGTGGGCAACATGGCCACGGGATTCCAAATGGGATTCCGAAGGGATTGGGTGTAATACCAAGGTGGAATCCCATGTCCCTGTTTTGACCCGTTTTGGCAAGTTTTCGGGATTTAGGATTTGGGACTGTATTGGGATTTGGAGTTAGGGACTAAAATGGGATTCTTTTTTCTATTAGGGTTAGTAAACTTGACCCGTCACCATGCGAGGTTGTCCCGCCGGAGTTGGTGTGTATACACACGCTCTGCTGCGCCAACAGCGTCTGGACAACCTTGGAGGCTGTGTGTAGTTGTGTGTATGTGCGCGCGCGCGAGATGCGGTGCTGGTGCGCTCCGCTTGAGGGTGCGTGCGGGTTGGTGTGAGTCTGTGTGTGTGTGTGTATGTGTGTGTGTGTGTCGGTGTGTTGCACAAGGTTACGTCCGGCTGCGCGAAGGGGAAAAATCTGGGTCAAGCTCAACGCATTCGGGACGCCGCCGCGTCCGTCTCGCACAGGGGAGAGGGAGGGGGAGGGGGGTCTGGGAAAAGGGGAGGGGCGGCAACCAGGATGGCGCAGAATGTGTTCGAGTCCCATCCCATCGAGGTCCCGGGGCGGCGTTGGCCTCCGCTGGCAGGGACAAGGCGTGGCCCGCATCAAAGCGTTATTTGTATTAAAATCGTTCTAAAGTCAAAAAGTCTCGCGCGTGCCCGCCCGCCCAACCCAACCGTGAACAGAGCCGTGTGCGAGTCTCTATAGTTCAAAGTGTCGCAAGTTCCGGTCGAGCTTCTCGGCTTATAATGAGGAGCGAAAACTGACTAAATAAATGAAATAGGTAAGCCTCTTTTCTCCTCCTGCTTCTAAAGGACACGTGTATATCTTCTCTCACTCACAGCTTGTAGCAAAAGCTTGCAGAAAAAAAGGACTCTGCTTGACGCTATTTTGTTTTTTGTTTGAAACACGCTTTTTCAACTTACTGTCGCGTCTTGCGTATGGCATTTCCTTTTCTTGTTCCCTGCTCCCCGTTGGGGCTTCCCTGTTGCTGGCCGAGGACGACGCTGGCCGCATGTTGACCACAGCTAATCCCCCCCCTCTTTCCACTTCCTCTCCCCCGTCCTCCACCCCCAATGCGCCCCAATGTCAGCAGGGTAGGGCCTCTGGCAAGAGTAGAGGGGGCGGGTTGCTCAGTTGCTCGGGAGGGACCGAGAGAAAAAGTATAAACCTCCAGCGCGGCAGGACAAATTTCACTGCCCCATACAGCTTTTGTTTCAAGCCGCGCTGCCGCCCCACGCCCTTTTTATACGGTATACGGCGCGACAGAGAAAGAACAAAAAACAGCAAAAGCAAACAAAAAAAACACAGCAACATTCTTTTTAAGGAGCGGGCGGGCACCCACACTCAACTCACGTCCGGTGCGCAATGTAAACAAACTAGAGCAGAGAGCAAAGGGCAGCAGCTGAGGAGTGGTTAAACCTGGAATATTTTACCATTTTTATTTAAAAAAACAAAAAATTGCATTTTTGTTTTCAGTGAGCTTATCTTTTTTAAGCCCGGCATGTTTGTGTTGACATAGAGCGCCTCATTTCCCTGCCGGCCC